AAAGAGTCCTAGAGCGTCTCAGCATAAAGAACCATGGGAAATGCCCCAGGTACATACAACAAGTGCAGAGACATTGCAAATGCAGTAGGTTGTGTAAGAAAGTGCCATTAATACAGAGGCACATTTTTTACTACAGGTAGCTTGAGATGTGTTTTCTTAGCTGCTTTTCTTAAGTAGTCATGAAAAATGTGGGGTTTGAAATGCTGATTCGTGTACGAGCACATACGCTGGGAGGCCTCATATGATGAGACGTGGGAAGGAACCATGCCAAGAAAAGTCTGGCAGCTACTCCTACCTTGATGTGGCTGACTCTTTAAGGTTAACTGCAAAGAACAATCTCAGCATTCCAACAGCTTGGGCAGCAGGGAAAAGAACTGGCTGCCTATTGCTGAAAGGGTAAATGTTGAGGTTTATTTCTTTACAGTAGTGATTTTTGTGTGTGTAAATCCAATTTGCCTAACATGCTCTGACAATCCAGCACATTGTGGAGCTGGGCTGAAATTAATTTACTACTTCATGGGGTAGATCAAAGGTTTGTCCAAACCTAGCTGTCCCATTATACTAGTGTGGGTAATGCATGCCAGGTTTCATAGTCAGTGCACCCAAGAGCATACCTAGGGCCAGAATCAATTCTACCTGTTAGGCATGTAAGTGGACATAAATACCTAAGCATGCTTCTAATCCACACTGCCTGAGACCCTGAAAGCCTATTAAAGCAAAAGATGTGTGTGGGTTCTCCTCCTCCTTGCTGCTTTTTGGGACTTATGCTTAAGGGCAAGATCATAGAAGTAGGGTCGGAAGGGACCTTGTAGATCTTCAAGTCTGACCCCCTGCCTGGGCAGGAGGAAAACTGGGCTCAAGTGACCCCAGCCAGGTAGGCATCGAGCCGCTTCTTAAAGACCCCCAAGGTAGGAGCCAGCACCACTTCCCTTGGAAGTTGGTTCCAGATCCTAACCGCCCTAACTGTGAAGTAGTTCCTACGGATGTCTAATCTAAACCTACTCTCCAACAACTTGTGGCCGTTATTCCTTGTTATCCCAGAGGGCGCTAGGGGAAACAAGGTCTCCCCCAAACCCTTCTGGTCCCCCCTAGTGAGTTTATAGACCGTCACAAGGTCCCCCCTCAGCCTTCATTTGTGAAGGCTGAACAGGTTCAGGTCCCATAGCCTCTCATTGTAGGGTCTGCCCTGCTGTCCCTGGATCATGCAGGTGGCCCTCCTCTGGACCCTCTCAATGTTGTCCACATCCCTCTTGAAGTGGGGTGCCCAGAACTGGACACAGTACTCCAGCTGTGGCCTGACCAGTGTCGCGTAGAGGGGGAGGATCACCTCCTTGGCCCTACTTGAGATGCACGATAAGATCCGGTTAGCCCTGCTGACCATGACCTCGCATTGTCGGCCCATGTTCATCTTGGAGTCAATGATGACTCCAAGATCCCTTTCTGCCTCCGTGCTCTCAAGAAGGGAGTTTCCCATCTTATAAGTGTGCTGCTGGTTACTACTGCCCAAGTGCAACACCCTGCACTTGTCTGTATTGAAACGCATCCTGTTTTTGTTAGCCCACCCTTGCAACCTATCCAGGTCTTTCTGCAGTCTTTCCCTCCCAACTAGCGTGCCCATCTCACCCCAAATTTTGGTATCGTCAGCAAATTTGAACAGGTTGCTTTTCACCCTGTCGTCCAAGATGATGGTGGCCACTGACAGATGTTAATTTAATTGTGTGACAGGATCTGCAGAATATTATCCTGGACCACAACAATCAACTATCCTGCCATGCCAGAAGTTCAAGGTTTGGCATGGCAGGATGCACAAATGTTGGGATCTGGTATAAAATTCTCTACATCCCATTATGTGTCAGGGGCATACAGTTGGTTGCACATGTATCTGGGTGTGGTAAGCTGTGAACAGGAAGCTACCCAGTTCACAGCTGGCATACAGCCCACATGCATTGGGCAAAAGCAGCTGGGGATCAGGGATCTATCAGCCTGGCACTGGGCTGCATGTCACATATTCACATTAAAGCGCAATATGAACCAACCACAAAGATGTTCCACATTTGGTGAATGCAGCATTGTACCTAAAGGTGGGCAGCCAGAACAAAAAGGACCTTCTAGAGCTAATTCAGCATACATGACGCCACAAAGGGCAACAGCAGTGTTCCTTGTCCAGCAGGTTGCTGGCTATTAAAATCCTGAAAGCTGTAGAATTAGCAAGTAGTGGGTTTCCATTTAATGTGGAACTTGTGCATGGATAGTTTGCCATTTTATTGCCTGAACATGAGGCATGTTACAATTTATCTTACAATAAACCAATGAACACATTAATCATGCAATAAATGTAATATCTGCCAGGGGTAGTATATTACAATTGTAGGTGCAATAATGCATTTTCAAGGACTTCAACAAGGTGGAATAGAACAACACTCAGAATCTGATTTTTTATGTTCGACCACCTTTAGCTCCCCAGCTGAAAGACCAGGTGCCAGTTTAAAGCTGGGTTTATGGGTATAGCCTTTAGTACAAGTCCAGAGCAAGAATTGTGCTCACATCTCTGGATCTGTAGCCAAACACTATGACTGATCTGCCACTAGAACCCCAAGGAAACCCCAGGCTGCGGGGCATCAGGGCAGTTGAGGAAGATATTGACGGGTACTTCCATTCTGTGCAGGAGCACACACCCGGAGGGAAGGCATCAGAGGAAGCAGTTGATGCAGAATGATGGAAGACAGTCACCTCCGGATCTAGATGTCACAGAACTAGACATCGCACTACTGGAGCAACTCCCCCAGTACAGCTGGGAAACAGGTATGATGCCCTAGCATCACTGAGAGAGAGTACAGCAACGGAGGCAATGTCCACAGTTACCACCAGACAGGCTGAGAGGCAGCTGGGCAGCCAGAGAAGAAGATGTCGAGTCATTGTGGTGGGAGACTCCCTCCTGAGAGG